AATATCGTATGTTGCCACCGACGTGTTGAGTTCGTATAATATCTATGCTTGGTTTAAAATAAAATTTAGTTACAAAACATTAATAAACCATTAATTAAAATAATTAATGTGGCACTTTTTACTCATAAGAAAAAGGCAAAAAGAATGTGTTAGTTTTTATTAAAGGCGAATTAAAAATTTTATTTTTCCCAAAAATTGAACTGCGGAATTTCCTATCGAAATCCACTTGTATTTATACATTTTAAGAAAATCATTTCTACTATCTACTACTCTTTCTCTCTATCAAAATTCTAAGAATAATAAGAAATAAAAGATGTATTATCATATGACTTTCTTGTTACACTAAACTAAACTATAAATATAATTTTATTGGCTAATTATTTATCCATCGGCTAAATGTTTATCCGTCATTTACTGCGCCATGTGACTTGTCACGTGACTTTTGTATTCCCAACCATTTCTTCTTGTGTAACCATATCATGTGACCTACTGCGCCACAGGATTTACTGCGTCATTTATTTATTATATTTTCAGTTATTACAATGCTCATTATACAGAAGTTTAAAGATACTAATTTCTACAAGAAAATAAAGAAAAAAATATTAGTTATATTTTAAATAAAAAAAAATAAAGATAGAAATGATGGACTTTTCACAGTAAATTAATTTTCTTTAGTTTATTTGTTTTTTATTTATTTATTTTTTTTTTAGAATTTATTACTTACTTTTTTTTTTCTAAAATCCTTTAGAAATAACTGCTTCTTCTAAAATGGCAGTTTAGCAATTTTTAGAAGTATAAAATGATAAGTATTTTTATTTTTATTTTTTTATTTTAAGAATATAACTAATATTTTTTCCTTTATTTTCTTGTAGAATTTAGCAGAATAATGAGTATAGAATTACAATATTGGTGATATATTAAAATTACTTAAGCATTTTAACATTTGATATTGATTTGTAAAATTTTGGCAAGCAATTTTATTTTATATTATATCCATTAGTCTTGTTAATATTTTAAGATTTCTAATATTCAAGCCAATAAACTAAATTTTTAATCTGGAATAATAAATAATAAATGGCTAAAAATTTTTTTCTAAAAAAAAAAAAACTGGATAGTTATGTTCAAAAAAACTGATTGTGATATGAAAATTATTTTTACAACTTTATGTTATCTAATTATTAAACAAATATTATATAATATTAAATTTATTTTTATGTTACTACTATAAAAAAGTTTTTTATATCAAAAAGTATATACTAACTTGTATTAAAATATAAAAAAACAGTTTATAAATTATTTTTTTTAATAAATCAAATATTTTTTTTTTTTTTTAAGAGTTAACAAGCATAGCAGTCTTTTTATGAATTTTGCTGATTATATTTTAATTTTAACACATAATATAAAATACCATTATTTTGATTTTTGAATAATTACCTATTAATATATTTTTAAATTTTGCTAATAAATTCATCCTATAATTGTATATCAGATATATTTTTATTAAAATTAAATTATTACTGATGATAACATTCATATATAATAACATTTTAATTAACATAACTATATATTTTATTAAACATAAGTGTTTGAAAAATCTAAAATTATATATAAAAACTATATTTCAAATTATCTGAATTAATAAAAGTTAAATTAATATACCTGTATTTAAAATTTTATTAAAATTGAAGGTAAATTGATAAACTTTAATGTACCATTAATGTACTAAAATTAATAACTTAATATATATGTGATGATTTTACATTTATTTAAAAAATAAGAATAAAGCATATTTGATAAATTAAAAATTACATTAATTAGTATCACTAATTTTCTATATTTAATAATTCAATTTGCATAATTATTGATTCTAATAATTAAAGGGAAACCGTTCATTTCACTAACAGACATTTCACCAACACATTTTTTTCACCCCCTGTAATGGTCACGTGTACATGCATGGCAATACTTGGGCGTGATGTTTAACGCATATTTATCACGTGATATGTATGTGACATTTAGGTGTTAATGAAACGTCTGTTGGTGAAATGATTCAGACCCAATTAAAGTATATTATTAACTTTTTTAAATTATCTAATAAAAAAAATTATTAAATTATTAGATTATTAGATTATTATTTAGATTATTAGATGCTTATTATTGGTTATAATTTCCAATAATCTAATAGTCTGATAATTTTTTTATTAGGTAATTTATACAAAAAGCTGATAACAGGAATTTGAAAAGTATATTAAATTCAATAATTAGTATAAAAAATTTACTTTTTTGGAAATTTGTATTTAAATATTTACCATACCATTCCAAAATTAAGCAGTTCTTTTTTTACTATGAGGTGCTTAATTTCAGATACTTTTAAATAAAGTATTGAATTGTCTTCTATTAGTACGAATTGTCTATATAAAATACTTTAATAATCATCCAATGATTGTTTAACGTTATATTATGCCATTTACGTGATATAACACGAATTTAAATATAAATACTATATATGGCAATAGCAAATTCATTAATTTTGATGAAAATCAGTGGCTTAGAATTTAAATAATATGATGTGTAGCATTGAATTATCTTTTATTGTAAATTCAAAATTTTATTAATAAATTCGTTGCAATTTAGTTGAAATCAATGAATATTAATCTAATTTACAAAATTTAATAATAAAAATTAATATTAAATTAATACTGCTTATTTTTTTCAGATACTATACAAAATGCGGGGTGCTTATTTTTGGGTACTACTTAATTTCAGAATGGTATAGTATATACGATTTCAAAATTCTGCTACCTTTCATATAAATCACTCAATAAAATGATTATCAGATTATTAGATTATCAGATTATTATTTAGATTACTAGATGTTTATTAATTATAATTTCTGATAATCTAATAATTTGATAATTTTTTTTATTAGATGATTTATAGAGGTAGTAGAATTTTAAAAAATATGATAAATAAATAAAATTATACTATTTTTAATAAATTAATATATTTTAAAATAAATTATTATTGTATAAATATTTTAAAATTTTTAAATAAAATTCTAAAAGTATTTTTTAATAGTTTTAAGCAAGAATTTTATTATAATTATTAAATATTATATATATTTAATTTAAAAATTGTATAAAAATATACAAAATAATCTTTTAATCTAATTGAATTTTTAATTTTATTCTTTTTATAATTAATTGTATATTATTGTATGGATATATTTAATAATAATATAATTATTATTGAGCATATCTATAAACTATTATATTAATTAAACTTTATAAACTTTATATTAAATAATATTAAATTCAGATTTTAATATTAAATTAATATAACTAATCATGTAATAAAAAGTATAATTTTATATACAAATACAATTATAATAAATTCAATTCTTATATTAAGCATAATGTATAAAATATCAGTATAATATATATATAATAGTTCTATAAAGTCATATAATAATTAGTTTTATCTTATATCTACTAATTTATTTGCAATATTAACTAGAATTATTCTTTAATTAATAATTAAAAAAATTTAATTAAAGTATTAAAAGTATTAAATAAAAAATATTATAATATTTTAATACAATTTTTATTTAAAAAATATACAGTTTTTTATAATTATTTTACTAATTAATAATTTAATTTAATAAGTTACAAAATAAAAAAAAAGTTTATTAAATTGAATTACTAAATAGTAAGATAATTATTATAAACATTTAAGTAAAAATAAAATAGTCAATATTAATATTATTAATATGATTTTACTACCATTTGATTCATCTTGAAATAATTTATAAATTATCAGATTTTGATTACCAGATGCCAAAATATTCTTAAAATACTTTTATTATTAAATTTTAATAATTGTAGATAATTATTTAACATTTAATTCAATTATTTTAGCTTTTAAAGGGCTAAAGTCAAATTAATTTTAACTATTTTGACTTTTTATAAACCTAATTTCAGTTTTATATATAAATATCATATATATATTTTTTGGCCTTTACATAAAAGTAATGTATTTTTATTATGAAACTATATATATATAAAGTACATGAATTATTTACATGAATTATTTTTGAAAGTTATATTTTATCTAACTGGCAAATGTACTTAGTAAGTAAAGAGAAAAAGGCTATATTATATAATAAATGAATTAGTAAAAAATCTTTGTAAAAAATTATATAAAAAATAAAAAAAAGAGAATGAAAAAAACTAATATAGTAATATTACTGGGCAAAACTTATTTAATGAGTTTATTAAATAATGGCAATGGCAAAATTATAATTGATATTATAGCAAAATTTTTAGTAAAATGACAAAACTATATTAAATACAGTATATATAAAATGTAGCAAAATAAACTACTATATTAAAATCAACAACCTTATATTTAATTCATCAAACCATTTGAAATTAATTGTTATCATTTCTACTTTCAATATTTTTAATAGAAATTATTTAAATTTGTAAAACCCAAATTCTTTATTGGTTAAAGATTTTTATTTGCTACAAATGAGTTTACACTATTACATTATTAATACTGTTTCAAATACAGTACGTGTCAAATAGCATAATGGATTTCGCGTCGATTAATCATATGGGGAAATTTTATCTTTGAATTATTACAAATAAATTAGTTTAAATAACAAATAATATATTCTTGATACCTTTTAAATTAACTATGAGGTAAGTGGTGAATTAGTAATATGGTGTGGATCACAATAGTGAAAAACTTGAATGAAAATTATAATTTTTCACCGGACCGGAGTTTCGGATATTTAAGATAATTCGGATTAAATATTTAAGAGCTGTTCAAACAAGTTAAAAATTAGGATATGTGTAAATAAATTTAAAGCCTTGTAGCCCTTCATTACCCCCTAACGGGACGGATCGTTCCTGCATATCACAAATTGAATTTTATCCACTTTTAATTTCCAAAATAATGTAAATAAAACGATAAACATAGAAATTAGTTTCTAATTGGTGAATATTATTCTCAAACACGTTACCCTTAGACTGATAGTTTATCATCTAATTTAGCATAATATGAATTTAAATGTACGAGTTTTCTTTGTTTTTTTGTTAGAATTCGTAACACAAATCCTAATTAAGAATATTCCGTACGCAGAAAAAACAATAAAATATGGCAGTATAAAAAGTAATGGTTTTTGGAGGGATTCTCCTTTTTTTTCAAAAATGAAATTGTTTACTGTGACACTCTTTGCTATTTTTCTTTTAACATTTATGGTCATATTAGTTGCACCACAAGACGATTCTCAGTCAACAGATGATGGCTCTTCAGACTCTTCAGATAGTAGTCCTTCAGGTATATACAGTACAAATATATTAACAATAAATTAATATTGGAACTTTGATTTTTAAAATGCAAATATTTTATTTTATAGATAACCCGGTAGAATTACCAACAGATTCAACAGTTAGCCAGTCAGTTCCAACAAGGAGTCAATCAACATCAACACCTTCAAATACACCTTCAAATACTCCGCCGGTTGCAGGATTTCCCTCTAGTCAACCTTCACCAAGTTCTGGAACTCAGGTAATTAATTAATTTCGAAATCAAAATTTATTGAAGGCTTTTACTTAACGATATTTTATCTTTCATACAGACACCCTCACCATCATTTGTACCAAGACCTACTGTTATATCTCAAGGAGATGGTGTTTCTATTAATAAATCTTTTAGTTTCGTTAGCATATTATTTTTCATTACTAGTATCATTTTCATTCAATTTTACTAAAAAAAAACTCTTGCATTTTAATATTTTTAATATAAACAATAAAAGTTACATATAATAATCTTAATAATATATATATATATATATATACAGTATATACGTTAAACAAATCGCGTGAATTTTATTAAATAAGAATAATAAGGATAAATGTACGTAATTATGTACACTCTCCTAAATGCATATGTGGCGCTTATATACATACTCTACCTTCAGTGCCTACTGTCTAGTTAATTAATATGACTATAGAAAATGCCTATTATAAAGCACCAACAAAATAATTTTTTCCATCCCATTATTTAAATTTTTTTATAGATTTATCTTTACAATCGATAAAACCCAATTATTTTGGAACAGCTGATTTCCGTTACTTCAATAGACGTATGGTAAAGGTATGGTACTCAGTCACTCATAAAGGAGGCGGTGCTTAAACGGATATAACTTATTAGGTAAATTATAAAATTTTATCACATGTAAAAAGTTATTTGCCTTTTTTGTTGTATCAATAAGGCAATTATCCTTAACAATGACATAGTTATCGTAATTATTTTTGTCCAAAAAACAATCATAAAAACAATAACGCAAATTCCCTTTGCAGGTTAATATAAGGATTGAATAAAATACAACTGATGTTTCATGTTTGACAATCCATGGGATTAATAAAAAAAAAGTAACATTTACAACTGATAATCTCTCATCATTACAATCACGTGCGGCCTTTGTTTCCAAATTCAAAGTGCAAAAACAAATGACAATAACTGAATGATGCATATTTCTAGTAAAGGAAATACCAACGAAAATTAAACCCTTGTTATAAAAAGGATGTTTTCCTGCTCGTCCTTTTTATCTTTTTCTTTTAAAAAAAAAACAAAAAACTCTTCAAAGAAATCATAAAATGCCATCTTCTCAATACGCCATTTCAGACATAATTCTAATTCCTAAACATATTAAAATTGGAAAATTAGTTGGTAGCAATGATTGTAACCTAAAACCAATTAGTGAGAGAACTAATACATTGGTTTGTGTCAATAAAACACATCCGGCAAAAATTGAAATTAAGTACAATACAAATTTCCCTCCACCAAATATTAATACAATTAATGAGGCAAAAGATCTAGTAAATAAATTGATTGAAGAAGAAGGAAAGAGAGCTCGTTTGGAAAAGAAAAAGGAAGAAAATATTCCGTTTGTAAGAGATTTTGGAGGGGATGGTAAAATAACAAAATATCAGAAAGAAATAATTACGAAGAAAGAAAAACAGAAATCTAAGCGAGAAAATGATAATATGATAAAAACTTATATGAAAGATGGAATAGTGGAAGACAAGTGGGAACAGGAGGATAAAAAGGAGAGGGAGGAGGTGGATTATTATTATTCTTATTATTAGAAATAATGACATCAATGTTTATATTCTTTTACTTCAAATAGTTATGATATATATTTCTTTCTTAGATTTATTTGAAACTTATGTCAAAATTTTTTAGTATACACATTTATTAAATAAATTAGTTATATTTTTTACGTAATTCACAAAAAAACATTTCTTTCAAATTAACCAAAATATTTTTCTATCTTCGAATTATACTAATTACATTATAAAAAAGTTTACGATGAAGGAATGATGTTAGTATTGAAACGTATATTTACAGTAATTTTAACATTAGAAGTAAAAGAAAGCTTCGAGAAATGTTACGATTAGCGCATGGCAGAAGATTATTTTAAAGATGCTAATTGAAACGCAGATTCACCATTTTTTTTTTAATTTAAAGTCCACCACCTGTACCACTAACTAACTTCTCTATAACCTGTCTCTTATACACATCTAGATGTGTATAAGAGACTAGAACATATATGTCACCTCCTTTTTAGCGTTAACTTTATTTAATGTTTCAATTTTACACTTTTTGAACTTAAAAATTAGATAATGTCATCAGAATTCTTTAAAACTTTCTACGTTGAACGATTGGGTTGCATTATCTTCAATATCTTTTACTAATTTTCTAATTCCCCTTTTGATTTTACTTTCTGATAGCTCGCGATCAATGTTTTTAGATTTGAGAGTGTCGGATTGAACGGGAATTAGTTTATTGTTAATCTTATAATGTATACCTATTTGTAAACATATTGTAGTTTTGAAAAATAAGTTTTTTGCAAATTGGAATTTATTTTTAAAAGAAAATGACATGGAAAGAATTGTTTGCATCCAGACTAAAATAAATAGCATTTCACGACTCGAGAAAGTACTGAAATTAAAAATTTTCTCTAATCTTCTTCAAATCGATTTGATAGGTCCGAACATAACAAATTGCTGTGACCCGAATTCATAAAATTGAGATGATGTCGACTCCAGATATGTCGCATCTAAAAATAAACCAAGTATGTAGAGGTTGCATGAATGTATAAAACTCATATACGAATGAAGGATAATAACGCGAAAACACGTAAAAGAACGTGTAGCACGAAAGTTTTAACGACTACTCGTCTATGTACTGAAATTACTTATATATTCTATGGACCATTAATTCATTATTTAAAAAAGGTAATTTCTAAGGAAAAAATTTTAAATTTGAGAGCAAGGTTTATAATGTCATGATTTTAATAATCTTTAAGGGATTTCTTCGCACTTTAGCGGATTCTGTTCAGCCATGAAATGCACGTAATTGTGAATAATTATGGGTACCTATTAGAACATCGCTTTCGAAATACCCATATTTCGTATGTACTACAAAGTTTATTTATCAAGGAATACCTGAAATATATTCATTCTCTTTATGGCAATGGAATAGTGAAACGGGGAAATAAATTAGCATGTTTTTATTAAGAAGCGCTATTATTTTAAATGACACTTCTCTAACACTCTAATTTCTAAATATTTGTCAATAGCTTCATCAGATTTCAACCCTTTCCAAGAAATGTAATAAAAATAATAATTCTTCACTTAATTTAATAACTTGTTCTAATCTTTTCTAATGATTTCGCTTTAACAGTCAAATATAGTCTAACTGTCTTGTTAAATTTTGCAGATAATTTTGTTGCAGCTCTTACTCCAATAGTTTTTATTACTGTACCATTTGCTCCTATTAATATTTTCTAATATAATCAATATGAAAAATTGTTAATAACATTCTTAAAAAAAGGATTTCTTAATAAAAGATCAAAACGTATATTACCAACTGTGATGGATGGTCAACATATACATTTTGATCAATTCTTAATATATTATTTGGTAAATCAGTCCATCCAACATTTTCCTATTATATAGAAGTAAAATGTCACTAATTAATCTGTTATTAAATTATTTATTTCCTAATCAATTACCTGTCTTACTACATAAGGTAGATGATCACGTAACCTCTCATAAATTTCTGCTCTAATAAAATCTTCAACGAGTTTAATATCCGCCATATCTAACTTTTGATCTGGTGGGTAAATCCAATCGTGAGGGTACGTATCTGATAATAACATTTTCTTTTAACCATCCATTGATATTATTTGTGTTTAATCATAATTTTAATACAAAATATCATACTTGAAAAAAAAGAAATTAATAAACTACCTTCAATTCTGTTATTCCTGTTCGTTTTAATGCACTTATACTTATTTTATGTTTAAAATAAGGATAATGTGCAGTAAATTTTTCGTAGATGGATGGTATTGAATTTTTACTATTGGCTAATAAATCAATCTTTGAGGCCATCCATATCCAAGAAGAAAATAAGAAATCCCTAATTCAAATAAAATTTTAAATAAATTCTAATGGAAGCGTGATTTACCTTATTTAATACCAACGTCCCAGGTAATTTATATTCTTTTAATCTACTTAATAACAAACTTTCTGAATATGTTGTATGATATAAAGCTCTGAACGCGTCAACTATTACCAACACTGAAAGGATGTAATTTTATTAATAAAAATTCAATGAAAAAAAAAGGATGTCGAAATTTTACTAACCATGATCAGCTTCGTGTAGTGAATGCCATGATGCGTTAATTAAACCACGATTTAATTTTGGTCGATTACGTCTAGAAACAATTCCAGGTGTATCGATAAATATCTAATAACAATTATTTTTAATTGAAAAGTCAATCTCGCAATTCTTTAAACTTAATAATATCTGATTACTTACTAATTGTCTATTCTCTTCAGTTAATATTGTAGGAATTCTTTTTCTTGTTGTATGTGCTTTATTAGAAACTATTGATACCGTTTCGCCAAATAATGCATTTAACATAGTAGATTTTCCTGCATTTGGAGTTCCTAATACTACAATCTTAAGCAAATTCGGATTTTCTGGTTGTTCAAAACGTTCATGGATTTTTGGTAGCATAACATCAACGCCTAACAAATAATTATTTTTAAACCACTAATGATCAAGTAAATGAATTATATAAGATCATTAAAGCCAAAACTTACTAGCTGGCGTTATTGGAAATTTAAATTTTTGATTTTGAGATATCATTTTGGGTACCTCATTTATTCCATTAATGTTCAACGAATTATTATTGTTTAGCTTCCATTTTGCCTCTTTTTCTTTCATACTCCTATTTGATTCATAATCCGCCTCCCGGTGTGATCTCATAACATCTTTCTTCTTGACCAGTGGTGTAAATGATATTCTGGATTTTTTGGATGATTTCAAATTTTTTGACACTGAGATCTTCTTCTTTATGGGTTGGATCAATTTTGATGAATAAGATGATTTATTATTTGATGTTATTACTATATCATCTTTTGGTGGCAATCCCGCTAATCTTCGTGCTCTTGACATTATTGAATATTCCCGAAAATTTAATGAATGAAAGTGATGACGACATCTTAAAGGATAGAGACTATGCGACGATATTATTAAAATTCTTGGTAATTGTACTAGAGGACTTAAATTCAAAACTATATCAGAGTACAAGAAATATTATTAAGACGTGACATTATTTACAAGAATTAAGAGAAAATCAGAAAAAAAATTCTAAAGAAATTTGAAAAGTCGGTGTAATAGTTAAGCTTACTGGAACTTGTGTACCGGAATAAACGAAAATTATATAAAGTTTTCATTATTCGAACAAAAAAAATGTATCTCGAAAAAAAAAAGATAATCAGAATCAATAGTCAATCATTCACGTGATTTTTACCTTTTAATTCGGGTACAGCATTACTTTGATACTTCAACATAAAAGTTAAGAAAATGTCCGATTTAAACGGAAAGGAAGGCAAACAAAAAGGGTATTTGAGTTTTTGTAATCCTTGTCATAAAATGTTTTATTCGAAGTGTAATTTCTCAGAAATTAAACTTATTGTAATTTAGATTAAAACAAGATGATTTCCGAAAATTATTACAAACGCCTCGACCTGGAGATATACCGTCTAAGGGAATTTTAGGAATGGCGACTCCTAAACACAGAGTACCTCCACAAACTCCGTAAGTGAGATTGTTGTTCTTTTAAGTAATATTTTGTTGCTATTTTGCAAGCTGTTATTTTATTAACTTTATATTTTCGTAGAAAACCGGGTGGATCAGGAGGTTTTGCCAAACCAGAAGCACCAGCTTCTAAATCAAAGAAAAAGTTATTTTCACTTTATAATAATTCTTGAATTTCACTATCTTTATCTTCCAATCTTTTACATCTCTTTCTATTTTAATAGATATAAGAGACATGAGACTTCAGAAGATAAGTCTTCTGATAGTAAATATCGTGATCGAGCAGCAGAACGTCGTACGGGAGCTAATCCAGATTATCAAGAGACAGAACAGATTCTTAAAGCATTAAATAATAGTGAAATATTAGAAGCAAAATTAGTTTATGAACAATCGAAGTATCTTGGTGGTGATACTGAACATACACATTTAGTCAAAGGTCTCGATTTTGCATTGCTTAATAAAGTACGTAATGAAATACAAAAAGATGATCAAAATGACGATGAATTGGAGCGTACACTAGAAAGAATTAAAGAGGAAACTCAAGAAGTGCCTAAAATTACTGGAAAAATTGCACAAAATATTTATGAAATGGCTGTAGTAAATGCAAAGAAAAAACCTCCAAAAATTAATGAATTATTTGTTGCTGGACGTATGGCTTACATATTTGAACTGGCAGATGAATATGGATTTTATGGTGATCCATTTGCTATTCCAACAACAGTTATAAGAAGTAAGGCAGACATTGTGGATAGTACTGGAACTGATAAATCTACAAACGATTTAGTTATAGAAAAGATATCTAGAGTTATGGCTTATGTACGGAAAGGAGGTCGTGATGGAAGCGGAGAGGTTAAAGACAAGAAATTAAGGAAAAGGATAAAGGAAAAACAACCCGAAATAATTGCTCCTGTGAAATATGCGGCTATTGATGAAACTGAAGATATATTTGAAGATGCAGGAAGAGATTACAAAGCCGTTCCCGACGAACCAGAAGAGGACAAAAGAGATGATGAGCCGATAATTGAACCTGTTTATGGTCCTTCACGCCCTCCAACTCAGTCAGTCGAGGTAGAAACTTCAAAGAATTATTTTAAAATGGATAACGATGAAGATACTATGGATATTGATGAAGAAAAACCGAAAAATGAAGATCTAAAGTCTTTAATAAATCAAGTAGCATCTGCTAGTGGAATCAAACAGACTGAAGAGAATGTAAAGAGTTCTGAAGTAACCGATAATAACAAATCTTCAACTAAAAGCGAAACAATTAAAAAGAGATTATATGAAGTTGACAGTTATGACGGAGATTATTCCACTTATGGACTTGGGTTAAGTAGTTTAGGTGGTGGAGGTACGAGGAAAAATGCATATGATTCTGGACATGAAGATTCAGATTCCGAAGGAGAAGTGCATACTATAAGAGATCAAGGAGTCGCTAAAAATAAGAAAGCACAATTATCACGGTGGGATTTTGACACAGAAGAAGAATGGCTATCATACAAGGTACGCTAAATGATTATAGGCAAATTAATTGATTTAATACAATATCACTAAATCTAGAATTTGAATTCTTTTTTTTTAGGATAATGTTACGGCTATGCCTAAATCAGCATTCCAATTTGGAGTCAAGAAAACTGATGGTCGTAAAACGCGTAGAAGTGGTAAAGAATTATCAGAGAAACAAAAATTAGATAGAGATTGGCAAAAGATTAGTAAAATAATGGAACAAAAATATGGAGATGGTGATGAAGGTGAATCTTCACGAAAAAAGGCAAAACACGAATAAATAATTACCAAGTTTATTTATTTTTAATATTTATTTAAAGCATTGCAATTGTTGCATGTTATCATTATTATTACATAATATAAAAAAAATTATGTATAAGTATACAATATAATCTTAAATTAATTTCTCAACCCAAAGCTTTATAGTAGGATCAGGTCTAAGTGATATTGCTAATTTACTTTTCACTTCGAAACCATCAATTTCCGTAAATTTGAAATTTCTAATTAAGATTGCCAGCATAACTTTAAATTCATTTAAAGCTAATTTGTTACCAATACAAGAACGAGGACCCGTTAAGAAAGGGATGTAAGTATAATTTGTTTGAATTGAAGTAAGATTAGGATCTAACCAACGTGAAGGTTTAAAAGTGGATGCATCTGAACCCCATATTGAGGGAAGCCGGTGGATTGTGTTCATGAAGAGAAATATTGGTGTACCCTATATTATAAAAAAATAATCGGTTGTTAAGATAGAAGAAATTCCTTAGAAAGAGTATATTTAATTTACCCTTGGGATCATGTATCCGCCAATTACATCGTCTTTTTTTGTTGTACGTATAGTCATTGGAACTAATAAATATACAATTAATTTTTCTTTTCAAACGATTATAATTATCAACTATTATATTTATAATAATATTACCTGCAGGATTAACTCTTAGTGTTTCTTTAACCACACAATTCAGGAATTCCAGAGAATTAATTTGATCAAAAGTAGGAATAAAATCCTTATCAGGAAAGGCCTCTAATAATTCATTTCTAAGAGTATTTTGTACTTCGATATTTTTTGAAAGAAAATATAAAGCCCAACCAATAGCAACACTGGTTGTTTCATGACCAGCGGCAAGAAAAGTCATTATTTGATTTTTAAGTTCATGTTCAGTCATTCTATCTTCTTTGATAGCAGTTTGTTCATTTTGTCTAATTAATATTGTTAATAAATCGTTTCCTTCTAATTCACCAAGTTTTGCTTTATCCAATGTTTCGGTAACCAGTTTATTGGAAACTTGGTCAATTATACGTGATGCTTCTCTTGTACGAATATTAAATTCTATCGGAAGTTTGTTAAAGAAAGGGATGTAATTCGACATAATACGAAGTAAAGTGCTACGACGATTTTGGGGAGTGAATATCATCGTATAAGCTTCTGCTAATTCATTCTTAGAAGTGAGAGAATTAAATTCATAATTAAAGCCTATTATATTATAAGGATACCTTAGTTAAATGAATAATGATCAACTTTGAAAAGAATTTAATTTTGAATGTTTATATTTACCGACTAAACCTATGACATCTAATGTTGCTTTTGATAAATAAGTCATAATATCAATTTGTGATTTTTCATTATCTCCAATTTCTTTTATCCACAAATCTTTCATTATATGACCAACTTTAGCAAATGTTGGTATCATTTCCTAATAAATAAAAGTCTAAATAAATTTTTTACTCATTGAATTATCCCAAATCTTTATTTACCTTAACATTAGTAAAACTGAAAGCAGGATTCATCATTTTACGTTGTCTTTTATGGGTATCACCTTCAGCTAGCAATATTCCACTTCCCAATAAAGGTTTTAAATCACGGATAAAACCAGGTGGTTTAGGGTAATCATACACAGAAGAGACCATAACATGCAGTAGAGCTTTAGAATCCGTTATAAATATCCTCGGTTTATTAAACAATCCTCTATACATCACTATACCTCCATACTTTTCTGCCCATGCAATATGTGGAATTCCTACATCTGATTTAATAATTTGCATTAAGTTACCAAAAAGAAAATGATCTGGTGATGGACCTGGAATTTTACATAATGGTGAAAAATAAAATGGATATATATAATACTTGTAGGTGAAGTAACATATTATGGATGTTACCAGGAGTATTATTGGAAATGAATCGATCATGATTTATTTTTATGAAAGGAAAAATTACGGGGTTTTTATAGTTTTTCCATTTCTGTTTTAAAAAAGTAATGATTGACAGCTTAAATAGTAAAATTTAAAGGGTATTTATTTATAATTGTAAAACCTATATGCGGTATTTATTGGCGTGTTTTCCACAAGAGGTTAGTACGTCCTCCGGTAGTCTAACGGGTAGCTAGGAGTTGCTATGGGCTGGCTGGATATTTAGGATTGCCTCTTAGAGCAATTAATTCTTGTATTCCCCGTATGGAATAGCATTCTGACTAAGTGGCCTAGAAATTGTACGTTTGTATTTTTATTTTAATAAAGCTCTTATTAGTCTTATATTCCGTTTCTGATAAAAAAAAAAATTTATTTAATAATATGCTAAGTTAAGACAAATCAATTAGTAGTAAAATTATCTTTTTAGATTGAATATTTATAGATAAATATATTAAGAAAAAAACTTAGCTTACACGTAGTGTACAAACACGGGTTTTCAAAATCACGTGATTTATATCTATCTCTGTATTTGTTTATATCACGAACTCGCGATTATATCACGATTAATATCACGCGATACAAATCGATTGTACAATTTGTTTACGTCATAGTGATCATAAGCTCCTATTGTTAAACATTACATTGTTCAGTGCTCGTTCGCTTATTTCATGTCTCTTATTTCAATGTTAAACCTTGAATACAATGATGGATAATACAGAACAAGAGAACATTAGATGTGACGAACAATATGATGCTTCACCTTCAACAAGAACCAACGTATATAACTTCTTTATTTTACCTATTTTCTGTTGTGCTTGAGTGTTTCCTTGATTGTTGCTTTGTATTTGTTATCTATCATATAATTAAAGAGAATCTGCCTAATAGATTTATGAAACAAACCCACAATCAATTATTGATGATGAGTCTGATGGACCAGATGAGCCATCCAACCCTTTAGAATTGACCTCTGGACTCACTTTTTCTAACTGGAAAGACTTTAGAAACTGGATACGTATGTTTGGGTTAAAGGAAGGGTTTAACTATAAGATTAGAACTAACAAGACTATTCAAGGAGTAATGAGAAGGGCTACTTATGAATGCACAAAATCTGGGTCTCATATTTCACAAACTATATCGGATCCGACAAAGCAATGCAATACTCATTCCTAACGAACACTATGTCCCTGGAAACTTAATGTAGCCTGTCCAAAGACAAGTGGTATCGTAAGAATAAACTCATTTAATAATGTATATAACCATCCACTTATCTCAATGATTCAAGAAATAGTCCCAAGATTTCGGAAGTTGACAAAGGAAATGCTGGCTGATATTGAAAAGTATGTTGTTCAAGGGTGGATGGATTCAACGTCCATATATACCCTATTAAAGCATGACTATCCAAATCAACCTATTCACAAGAAAGATTTGTATAACGCGGTTTATCAGTTTTGGCAAAAGCATAATCCAGGAGATGGTGATGCTTCACAAATGCTTCAATTGTTAATGGATTGAAAAGATTCAGACCCGCTATGAATTATAAAAACGCGATTAGATCCAGTTTCAAGAAGATTAATTTCACTTTTGTGGATGTCCTCCACGCAAAGAGACTTATATAATAGATACAACGATGTTGTTATAGTAGATAGTACTTACAACACAAACTGATTTCAGATGATCCTTTGTGTTGTAACAGTAGTTGATAACAACTACAGAACCCGAATCGTGGCATGTGCAATCATTGAGGATGAAACTCTAGATACTTACTGATAGATATTTGATAGTATACTTAATGAAACGGGCATTTCTTCACAAATTGTTTTTACTGATTCAGATCCTTCTTTGATTCGTTCAATTACAGACATTTATCCCAATACTCACCACCTACTATGTATATTCCATATAGATCTAAACCTTCAAAAAAAACTTAAAGGGAAATTGGGTAGTCAGTTTGAGGAATTCCATCATAAATCCTATGTTTGTCGAAATTCTCTTTACGAACAATTATTTGAACTTCGATGGAATCAGCTAGTTAAACAATATCCAGTGGCAGTCAAATATTTGTCTGATACCTTTTATTGTACTAAGGATTTATAGGCAGTACCTTAGGTCCGCAAACGATTTACAGCCAGTGCACAAAGCATGCAGCGGATTGAATCAATAAATAAGTATGTGCATAACAAAGTAGACCGCTCTACATCATTATGTAATCTGTTGATTAGTATTAAGGGTCCAGTATATTACGTCATCCTATATATGGCAAAAAATTGGAGATCATCTTTTTTTTACTTTCGTTACAAGAAAAAATTTTTTAATATTTTTCAAACTCCTGCTTAAAATATCTGTTAGAGAGCCAAAGTTTCTTGTTTTTCAAATAAACTTTAAAAAAGTATAGTATAAATATAGTTTACAACGAAAAACTACCATATGAAGTTAACAGTAATTGCGAATTCTCTAAGGTAAGTTGCGAATTCTCTAATTAGACTAACTTTAAATTAACTTAAAACTTGCGAAACTTTGAGACTTAATAATATAGTAATTAGTTAAATAATTTATATCAAAAAATTAGCAAGCATCATATTCAAATAAAAATTTTTACTAATA